TGAATTAAGCTAAATGACTTTATATTTTATATAAAATTTGAAAATTTAAAATATATATTATTAATTGAATACTTACTATGAATAATTATTATAACTTAACTGTTTTGCATAGATATATATGCGAAATATATAATTATTTTCTTGTAGCATTTATAACAATATATTCAAACCTTTATTATTTTGTTTTGCAAAATGCTTCTTATATATTAATTAAATTTCAATTTACAAAATTTAAGGAATAATGCATAATACAGTAATATTAGTGAAAATAATTTTTAACGTCTTAAAAAAAACAAAAGAATTAATCGTCGCAATAATAATTTTTATATTGAATTTTGGACCAATTTGCTTGACTCATTAAAAAATAAACTTTTTATATCAATTTGTTTTAATTCTTAATATTTAATTTAATTTAGAGCAGGGCTTACAATTTTAATTGTTTGTAACAATTACTTAATTTTTTTTTTTTTTTTTTTTTTTGCTTTCTGCTCTGTTCCTTTTTTTGGAAGTGGAAAAACCAATCATAAATGAATTATTATAAAAACATGTCGCAATTAGAAATTTTTATCATAAAAAAATAATGACAGAATTTCTTGTATCGATTTTTATCATAGTTTATAAACAAATATATAAATTATGTTATTACGTGAATGAAAATCAAATACCTTAATTAGGATAGCTGCGCAGCGTGTGACGCAGCGCAGAACCAGTATGATCATACTGCGATGAGTAAAATTCTGACTATTCGTTTGATAAAATCGGTTACTAAATACCTCAGTTCATATTTAATTTTATTTTTTTTTCACACAATGCAATTTGCCCTTTTAACTGCCAACTTAAATGCCACTCGCACATGAATAACCATCTCGAAAACGAAATCACGCATCGAAAATTCTAAAAATATAATTTTTCTAATTTGAACTCAATTTATTCTCCTACGGCATCATGATGCTGTCGGAGAATGAACAGAGTTTCAATGAATTATGATAAATTAAACATAATAATAATCCTTACCCTTTCCTTCTAGAGATTTGACCACTATCTAAATAATAGTAAATATCTATTGGATTTACTATTGTCATGGGTAAAAATGTACTATAAGCAAATTGACAAGATGTGTGCACCAAAATCTAGTACTTTAGTTGTGCTGACAAATTTTGTCGCTAAAATGAGATTCTACTTGAACTTATTTTTTAATGGTAAGAAATTGTATTGTATATCGTAAAGTAGGTAAGTACTAGGGTGTCCAGAATTATGTGGCAGTAAAATATACATGGTTTAAAAATAAACTTGAGTATTGTTTCTGTAAGAAAAACGTGACATGTAGCATTTTTGAAGACTAAATACAATTCATAAAATATTTTTAGAGTGCGCATATTTTACTGCTGCATAATTCTGGACACCCTAGTACATACGAACAAATATTAGCATTCTTGATCAGAACGCTACTCGAGTACTCAAAGTTTATTCTTCAATTGAATTGTTATCAGGTCACATTTTTATTTTCTATATGTTTTATAATTATTTAAAATTATATTTCACGATTGTTGAGTAATATTCGTATACATATACGTTGTAAGTCTGGTATTGACATTTTGCAACTAACAACAAATTGACTACTTAATATAAGAATGGGTTAACTTTTTTCATAGTAGTAATGAATAAAAATTTTCGAGTGCAATAAAAGCTCAGATTTCTTAATTGAGTTTTTAGAACTTAATTAAATTTGTAAAATTGAGAATTAATTATATATAAAAAAATTAAATTCATGTTTGAATTTTAACCTTTACTTATATTCGAGTCAAAGGAGAATTTTTATAGCAACAAATTTTTAATTTTAAATTCAAAGAAAACATTAATATATCAATGTGTATGTGTATTATTCTTATTACAATTTCAAAAAGAAATATTTAATTTATAAAAACTTGAAATCTTGGCAAATTTAAAAAGTAGTTAAAATGGCACAAGTATTTATCTGTAATATCATCAAATTGAGAATTATTTGTTGAATTGTAAAGAAAAAACTTCACTATATGAATAATTAACTTTTTTAATTTCACGTAACAACAATCATCTAGTAGACTATCAAGATAAATTGTAATGAGCCTGCAATGAATTACTAAATATTTAAGCGAAGGTGGAAGAAATTCTTTTGATAGAATCGATGATTCAGAAATAATAGAATTGCTATATAGAAATGTAATAGTTAAGTGGGTTTTTGTAATTTTTGAATCAAGTTTTTAAATATCTGATCATGAGGAAATGGACGATAGCCCTTGAGAATAAGATGAGTAAGATTAGGACAGTTGTCTATTATAGAAAGCATCACTTCCTGTGTTAACACTTCTAAGGTTAATTCTTTCAAGTTTGGCATTTTAATATTCATCAAAAGTCTTTTAATATATAACTT